ATAAAAAATATTTGTGCTGAAATTTCAGTTATTAGTCTCCGTTGTTTTAACGCTACAACAACTCAAACCTGTTTTTGCTGAGGTTCATCAACATCTGCTTTAACGTTTTTTTTTTTTTGTTACTTGTGCGTAGTTTTTTTGTTCATTGTTCATCTTTATCTTTGGCTGCACCGATACCTTTTTTTTTTTTTAACAGCTGATCATTTAGCGCTGTCTGGGCTAACCTGCCGTTTGACCACGGGTTCAGCCGCAGACGCCATGACATCACAGAGCAGGAGATAAACTGAGAGACGAACAAACCCACGGTTGTCACCGGAATAAATACAGGCACAGAAGACAAAAGGAATCAGAGGAAAAAAAAACCCAGAGGAAACAATGAGACAAAGACAAAAGAGAGCGGAGGGAGAAAAACAAAGGAGAAAAAAAATCAGGTGATGGTCAGGATGAAAACAAGAAGAGCAGAGAGAGGAGGAAGAGGAGGGGGAAGAGGAAGAGGAGGGGGAGGAAGAGGAGGGGGAGTTCTTTTACACTAGAATTTAATTTATTCCATTCAAACAGCTCCAGTCATTTGTTTTATTATTTACTCTGTAACATGTAAAAGAAGGAGAAGGAGAGGGGGAGGGGAGGGGGGAGAGAGAGAGAGAGAGAGAGAGAGAGACATGCGCTGACCTTTACTGAACCTGTAAATTAAATCCAGTCAAACACAAGACTCACATCAGACGTCACATGACCACGGAGTAACAACAGGTACAGTGTGTGGGTGAGATTCTTTTTTTTTTTTTTTTTTAAATCACTTTAAACTTTAAAATATATTTGAACAATGTTTTTAAAGACGAAGAAGACGAAGACGAAGAAGAAGACGAAGAAGAAGACGAAGAAGAAGAAGAAGAAGACGAAGAAGAAGAAGACAAAGAAGAAGAAGAAGACGAAGCAGACGAAGAAGAAGAAGACGAAGAAGCAGAAGAAGAAGACAAAGAAGAAGAAGAAGACGAAGACGAAGAAGAAGAAAAAGAAGACGAAGAAGAAGAAGAAGAGGAAGAAGAAGAAGACGAAGAAGCAGAAGCAGAAGACGAAGAAGAAGAAGACGAAGCAGACGAAGAAGAAGAAGACGAAGCAGACGAAGAAGAAGAAGACGAAGCAGACGAAGAAGAAGAAGACGAAGCAGACGAAGAAGAAGAAGACGAAGCAGACGAAGAAGAAGAAGACGAAGCAGACGAAGAAGAAGAAGACGAAGCAGACGAAGAAGAAGAAGACGAAGCAGACGAAGAAGAAGAAGACGAAGAAGCAGAAGAAGAAGAAGAAGAAGAAACAGATCGGACAACAGTGACCACTGACCTGCAGCTGGTCGGAAACAACAACAACAACAACAACAACAACAACAACAACAACAACAACGTCACACTACCACCAGGACAGGAAGTAGAGGACGTAGCCGAGGACGGTGATCCAACGCGGCTGATTTCAAGTTTCATTTTGGAGAAACCCGGTGCCAAAACTCCTGAACCCCCGACCCTCGGCATTGTGGGAATTTGACAGCAACAAGGATTTTTTTTTTATGTTTCATGCAGAGAAAGTCTGAGCCGTCAGTGAATATTTCCCATCAGCCCCGACTTCATGATCGCCTGCTTTGGTTCTTGGTTCTTGGTTCTTGGTTTCTGGGACAGAGCTGCTCTTTTTTTTTTTTCCATCCTTGAGAGAGAGAAAGTCTCAGGGATCATTTCATTCCTTGCCAGAATTTATCACAGGGCAAAGAGTAAGAGCTCTCAGCAGCTGCAGCCATAAAATGTCAATATCGGCGTCCAGGAAGTCACACTTGTGGGCTGAAAAATGAGGCCGAGGTCGGCGAAGGACGTTCCGGCGACTGTAACTCTTTTTATTTTCCGACTTTTCGCTCATCATTTTCCTGAATGTGTTGCCTTGCTGCCTTTGACCCCTTGGCCTCCCCCCCATCGCTGACATGAGCCCAATTCCGCTGCAGCACTGACACCGAAATTTGTTCTTGAAGCAGCTTAAAATGTTAATGTGAAAC